GGGTAGGGAAAAAAATGAGTAGTTAATTGCAAAAAAATAATACATAGATCAGCATATATAGTTATTTACATGAGATATTGATATAGAAATGAGTCGAGCGTCTGTTAGAAATATTTTTTTTATCCTTAAAGCAAAGATAAGATTCGTGTATACTTTATTCTTTCCAAATCGACTTTGTAGGACTATACTGAAAGTTATTGAATTTTGTCCAATCCGTAATTTCTTAATATAAATACATAATGTCTAACTTAAGGTTACTTAAATTTGTCCAATTCGTAGCTTTAACGGTAGATCCACCTCTATATATAAAAGAGAATGAGCTAAGTATGCTAGTGTGACTTGCTTATATTACTAATATCAAGCTCGACACTTTATCGGTAGATCCACCTCTATATATAAAAGGAATGAATCAAGTATGCTAATGTGAACTTGCTCATATTACTGATATCAAGCTCAACGCTTTATCGGTAGATCCATCTCTATATATTTTTTGATAACCGAGAAATCCGTCTGTGACCCGCCCTTTGGACCAATCACAACCTTCTAAACTCGGTGGATAATGGGCCCGCCCCTCTACCCTTCTCCACTTAAATACCGGGCTTCGCTTTGCATGGTGTGGGGCTTGAACCTGCGACCTAAGCCACAAATCCTCCACCTTTTGCCACTTGAGGTTGCTCATATTACTAATATCAAGCTCAACATAAAACAGAACATAAAACTAATAAAGTTACGATAAATTCTCGCTATATGAAAATTATATATAGATTGATATTTTTCGATTGATAACTTATTTGAGATTATATTACTCAACTAAGTTGATTTTTTATTTTGATATAAATATTAAATATAAATAAATATTTATTGGGGAGGGGGGAGGGGGGAGGGGGTCAGCAGTATCAGAGTCAGAGGGACAACCCGAAATAAATGCATTTACCAATCCCTCCCTTTAGGCTTCGTAAGCTGCGCTTCTCTCGGGATATCCCTTTCACTTTTTTTTCCGTTCGATGTTCGATATTTATATCGAGACTTGATTAATATTACATTTTTATTGAGTTTTGATGATCTATTTATTATTTGATATTTATATTAGAATCTTAATTAATTCAAATTTATGAAACAAATGTTTTTTAATAAGATTTATTTTATATTCAAAATTCAAACTCAATCCAATCAATTCTTGGACAATCCTTATCTCTACACATTTTCTAACTTTGTTTTTATGTCTATATATATAAAAAAAAATCATATGAATTTATTATGATAGGAGTAGCATTTAATTTTACATATAGGCTTCAGAGGAGAATAATTATTGATACAAAGTTCAATCAAATAGGTATGAAATGTTTGAAATGACTAATAACAAACTGTAACATGGAAATCAGTACTATTTACTATTTAGTTGGATCTTTTTCTTTGACCATCATTTTTTATCAATAATAATAATGCAATATCATATTTACATATTAGAAAAATATTTTAATAAGTGGTGAGGTAGTCTCAGAATCAAGTATGTTGTTTAGATTCTTCAAAAATAAAAATAATTGTTCGTCAGATCTTAAAAAAAAGGAGTGTTTTAAAAGAATCTAACACAAATATGATAGTAATATTTTCGGAGAATTTGAATAACACAAGCTTCAACGTTATATATAAACAAAATTCAAGATTAAAAAAAAATAGGGAAAAAATAATATCATACTTGTATAATAAAAATGTGTCTAACAATTTTTCATTTTCAAGATTTAGAGTCTATTTAAATTGATTTATTTTAATCATTTTTAAGTACTTGGATAAAATTTAAAAAAATACTTTTAAATCAAAAATATATATTTTTTTAAAAGTCATAATTTTAAAATTCCTTCATTAATTAAAAGCACTTAAAACTAAAAAGAGTGTTAGTAAATTAAATTGAAAAGGTTTATTAATTAAAAGGCATTGTTTTTATTTTCTCCCGGAGAACATGCATGCATGACACTTATTATAAGAAAAAAAAAGTGCATCATAGAACAACCCCCTACCACCATAAGCCAATGGGTATAGGCCAATGTTTTTATTTCATGCTCGATGTTCAGTAATCACTTTGAAATTCTGATTAATTTGAACTCGAATAAGAGAACATATATATTTTTTTTATTATAGTTGTGTTTCACATAAAAGGTATAATCTTGTAATTTTGAAAATGTCACGTTGTTTCTACAAGAGAAATTTACTTGGTAAAATGAGAATATACAAACAAAAAACTGATTAAACATTTATTTTGTTTTTATTAGTTTATCCTTAGTACTTTCCTTTTTAGCCTTTTAATAAAAGAATGTCTGTTTTTATTTTTATTTTATTTTTTTTGCAATTCTTTAATTTTAATTTATAGGACAAGTTTAACATCACAGAATTAAAAGACAGTTTATATATATTTGACTTATTTTAAATTTATGATTACAAGATTCATTTTTAATCTTAACTCCATACAAATTAAAACAGAACAAATAAATTAAAACAAAGAAAGTATTAAAAAGGCGTAACATGCAAATTAAAATGAATGGGGTACCAATTTCTAAGTTAAAAGTAACAGTATTTCTCCATTCGTAATTAAAGATCTCAAATTCAGATGATATGGTTGAAATTTTCCTTTAATAAGGAACACCTTGACCTTAAAATATAACTTTTCAATATAAATTTGAATCAGTCAAACACCAAAATATTAAGATATATGTAAAGGAGAGCTAGAAATTTTGTTAAACGAGTTCAAAATATAAAAAATTAACCTAAAAAGAATTTAAAAAATTCAATATTTTTCTATATATATAATAATTTTCATAGTTTTACTAATATATCTGTATATATTTATAAATACCGTATAATTTTTTGCATTAATACTAACTAGTTTCGCTCCGATTTCCAGTCAAACTTAACTAATTTGACTTTTAAAAATTGAAAAATACCACATAAATTTAAACAGAAAAAAGTAATATCATATATATATATATATGCGTCGATCCTACCTAGCTCCGCTCCGAATATAAGAAGAGAGTTATGGGAGAAAAGATGGGAAAGAGGACAAAAAGGCATGCAGCTGTATAAAGTGTCCCTACTACTGCATGCATTAATATTACAAAAAGGACAACAAATTCATCATTACTTTGCAACTACTAGCATATCATCATTGTCCCTACCTATCCTCTTTTATTACTCTTATTTATTATTTAGACCTATCATTTTTATTTTATTTTTTATTTTTATATATTTATTTTTGCATGCTCCTTGTAATTAAAACATGAAATACTTAATAATTAAGTGAATAATTCGATGTAAAATATTTGAAAATTAAAGTTAGGTCTGATAATATTAAATCCACTAATTAAGTGCGATTGTAAAAAACTAATAATGCATGATATGTAATTAGATGAACAATAAGAATTTATACAATAAATAATACTCCGGTCATATACGTATTGTTATATAGAATTATAAGCTTGATCACAAATATGTACATGATTTCACAGTCAAATTCATCTCAATTTTTAGTTTGTTATATATTGAGTCTCATGTTATTATGTTATCCATGTATTAGATGTACTATTCAGAGACACATCTAAAAGAACAGAAATTTTAAATGAATATTTCGAATAAAATCAATAAAAAGTTCATCAAAGACATTTTTAACAAGTCAAATTATGACGATTTTTTTATCGGACCTCCATCAAAAAGTTCATTTCATTATATATTAGACTCCTTCTGTAAATTTTGGACAATTCAATCTAACTTTTGAGGTCGATCTTGATCGATATTAAACTGAGAGAGTAGGTGATCAAATATGAAATTAGAAAGATAAGTATTTATATTTGATTTTCTATTTGATGTTTGATAAGCTTGAATCCGAGACCTTCAATCTCCCTACCTATGTGTTTCTTTTAATTTTCAAAGTGTCACTATATTTAATACATGAATCTCACGTGTGACTAAGCCAACTATATTAGGAAATGCAACTATAATATAGTTCAACTATTTACTTTATAATAGTAGCAATTATTTTCTGTGCATATTTGACCTAAAATACTACCCTACCTTTTGACTTAAAGCTGGCCTGTATAGGATTATCTCTGATTTGGTATAGGTATATATATACATATATAATAAATATTTTCATAGCAGAGTTGTTTATTTGGATACGGTTTGATTGTTATAGTAGAATATTGTTACGAAAAACATATAATATACTCACTTTTATCCTAATTACTTGTCACATTTTTTTCCGAGAGTCATACTACATAAATTTGAGCATCATTAAAGATAAAAATTTTCACGATATTAATATTAAAAGAATCGCAACTCATAGTACTTTTATGTTTAAAATAATCTAAGTCAATTTAATTCCGAAGATTAGTTAAATTGACTATTAAAAAGTGAAATACGACAAATATTTTAGGACAAAGCGAATAACATAATACGAAAAATTGATTTTAAAAAAATTTAACTAGTTAAGTGAAATGTTATTATAGAAGACATCTACTGCATAGAGGTCTAACTATACTTGAGAGTAATAGTTAGATCTATAAATATTAGTATATTATAACTAGAAGTCTGACGATAAATTTTCCTCAAGTTTTTTTTGGGGAAAAAAAAATTAAGGCATAATCAAGAAGTATAGTGACATAAAATATTAGATTAATAACACTCACAAAATCATTAACATTATACTAGAACATAAATTTGGTCTCTCAAAAATAAGTTATAGTAAGTAATAATTAACTCTAGTGCATGGGCTAATTAACAAGTATTAGCCATCATAATCATCATGCTTAATATAGTATTGTTTTTTTGAGCTCAACTCAATAAGTCAAATGTAACCTAAATTAACTAAGATGGATCAACCGGTGTTCGGTGTCCATCAGCTCCAGCAGCCCTAGGCTGCTGGAACTGACTCAGCTGACCTATAAAAAGGCTACTCGCATCGAAGTTGTTGCTCCCATGACCTTCAAATGCTCGAATCATGTTTTGATGTTGTTGTTGTTGCTGATCCCTAGGAAAGAACTGATGATGGTAAAGGTGGTGGGAATGATCCCTCCCACCACCGCCACCTCCACCACTTCCAGCCATAAAGTTGAATTGCTGATGATGGTGGTGGTGGGCCGTGGTAGCAGCCGCCGCCGCCGCGAGCGCCCG